TTTTCCTCCCCCCCTTAATCATGTTTACAAGAAGGCTTTCAAGAACTGTCTTCAGATGTAAGACTTCTCTGGAAACGTGAGCAGTTTCTACCCCCCTGCCTGCTGGGCTTGGCAGATGACATTGGCAAAATAAGTGGGTCATTGACTTTGCGAGAATTGCCACCTATCCATCCATCACACCTTGGAATTTAACAGCTTTTACATCTCTCCACTTGGAAGACTGATATTTTGTCAGTGCATTTTCTCTAATGTGAATGGAAAGAATGGTGTGAGAGATTTTGATTGCGTCTGCCTTGGCCTTTTGTAATTTCATTTTGAAGTGTTAACATTACACATAAATGGCATACTTATAAGTGTGTAGGTATTGCCTGTGCATTAGTTTTATAAATGGTTTGCATTGTACGGTAAAAGAAAGTCTCATGTTTCAGTACACTTAACATTTCCACTCTCTTGGCCCTCCATATTACTAGATGCTGATCATGGCTCTCAAACACTTCCCTTCCATAACACATCTTTGAGGACTCTTCTAAAAAGAGATTGAAGAACGTGTCTGATAATTATCATTGCTTCCAACAAAAATGGTTGTCTTTCACAGACAAATCTGTCAAATCAAAAGCTAGAACGGGTGACATCACAGTGTATGTTAACTTGTATGACTAACGGTGCATGTGTAATTTAAACTGCCCATACAAGATGACATTTCAGTAACCACAAAACGTTCACTATTTGCTAATTACAACTAGCAGGTTCTTAGCAGGCTGATGTTTTTAATTAGAGATAATACACGAGGAATTTACTGTTTCTTTTTTTTAAATGTTTAGAAGTTAGACAGTGCCCTCTCCTGGACATAGGCTCCCATAGCAGTAGTTTGCAAAGTGCCCCAAATGTTGCCAGTTAGAGAAAATGGACACAAAAACAGTGTGTTGCTCTGCTGAAGGGATTTGCTGGTTTCAAGGAAGTACACTTTGTTGTGGTCCCTCCTTGCATTCTGCTCTACTTGAAAGCATACTGTGTAACAAAAATTGTTCTCAGTTTAGATGGCAAAGAGCTTTTGTTTAATTTAGCTTGAACCTGGTTGGCTAGAGTTGACAGCGTAACTTTATCACAGCAAGCAGCAGGAACCTGTAGTGCTATATATTCCAGTTTTTACAAAAAATCAGCTCAATGCAGTAAAAGCATATTCATCTTCAGAAATAAAGGTGGTGGAGAAATATGCAGTTGAAGCTTACTTTTTAGGTCTTCTCTTACATGTCTGTTGCATTATTTCACAGTAAATGATGTCTATACTGAGAAGTCAAAAGTGTCATTTATCTTTTTCTTGAGGGTGTTTTGTTTTTTTTTTTGGAGGGGAGTGTTACTAAAAACCCCAACAGTAATAATTCATTTAATAATTCTAATCTCATGCCTTTGGACTTGTCTATAAAAAAAGCAGTTTACCCAGGACCTAACTTGAGACAGAGCAGTCTCAAGAATTTACATCTTACAGCAAAGGGGACAGAGAGAGAGAGAGGGATTTCCCTAGTAGTTAATTTAAAATGTGTATTTAAATTCCTTTAAGCATAGACTATAAAACTGTAATAATCCAGCATTTACAGGAAAATTTAAATTAATGGCATAGAAAGCATTACATATCTATTCATCAAACTTTTACAGTTTTCAAATCACTTCTATAGTTTTTCTCAGCACAGAAAACACACGGAGAGATTTAGGGTTTAGGGTTAACTGTGAGTGATTTCTATTAATTGGCTGACAGGTTGCTTTGTACATTAGCTTAAACATGAAGCAAAGCAGCCTTTTTATTTATTTACGTAAATTTTGCATGCTTTCTAAAAATATGCAGACCTCTTAAAAGCAGACTGCCCATGGAGAGCAGCCGCTCTGTGCCAAATTGAGCATCCTCTGACCGCTCACTTCAAAGGTGCACTTCTAGGGAAAAATGCAGCCCATCTTGCAGCACACACTCACTCACTCACGTAAGGGCAGCTCTGAAGCAGAAATCAAGATGTGCTCACAAAATACTCTCTCCACTTATAATATTGCCCTTCAGTTAGCCTTTGCCCATTACTTACCTGTGCCTGCAGCTGTGAGCATCTCTGCTCCACCAAGTGAGCTCCACTGACCTCTGCAAAGAGCTGTGAGGTCTGGGGTAACAGACCTCCTCATTAATGGTCACAGCTGGTCATTAGCTGGTCACTGAATCTTTCTTGATGACTTGCTAATGAACTTCCCACTGGCTTATTGTGAAGATTGGTCAAGGTAGACAGTATAGGTAATTTATAACTGAACACCCGGCACACTAATGGCGTTTGCTCAGCAACTGTAATCGACACAGTACTACTAAGAGGCATTACATCTTTCTTAATTTATTTCTCAGGTATAAATATTTCATGTTGAATAGAAACTTTGGATCCTGTGTTTAAAAATATGTTCACATATTGTATTTAAGGGGGAAATATCTTTAAGAATCTAATGAGGAAAAAAGCCTTAATCTTACAAACTCTTATATTCTAAATTTTTTTGCCCTTAACAAAATGTTTATTTTTAAAAGGCAAACCTATGCATGTTAATATTCACCTGCAAAAGACTTAGAGGCCTGCACAGTGAAAAAATCAGCTCTCAGTGGGTACCTGTTAGCTGCAGGAGCCTGGAGAGCTTTGACAGTTCAGCACCTGTGGTGCCTAATCTCTGTAAATCATGGATAAGTTGGCCAGAAGCTACAGTCCCTCCAGCTGTGATCTTGCCAGCTCTTAAAAGCTAAAAAGTTTCAACTGGGCCTTGACTTGGCGGGAAAGCTCCAGAAAAAGCCCAAGAAGTGGCAGTGATGCATTAGGTAGCACTCTTCCCTCTAAGACTGGTAGATAATGCCATAGGGGTTATCCAATTATCACAGGAGCCTGCTTTTGCTTTAGATATGCAGGTACCTTCTTCTGTTTCGAGAGTGATCAGAGTCCACCAATGCTGTGGTTACTAGGCGTTTCACAGCCCTGAACAAGTCCTAGGTTGGGTGACTGTGGCCAAGACATTCATAATCCTTTAAGGTTTTGTATGTTCATTTTCACATGTTCATGTATCATAATTATGATGCAAAACCAAAAAAAAAAGTTAGTTTATATCTGCTATGCAACCGCTATAAGCAACTGAATTTGCATCTGTTAAGTTGTAGTGGGCACAACCAGGAAGTTTACAGGTTTTCATGTACTTGACCCACATTAAGTGGTGTCCCAATGCTCATCTCATTCCCTGCAAATGGCTTCAAGATTGCAAAAATCTTTCTCTCTTGAGCTGTGTTGGACTGAGGAGGTGGGTTTCCAGGTAGGTGTCCTGACCATTGCTCCCCAGGGTGTGGAAACAGGAGCTCTGGTTGTCTTTAGAGAGGTTTTGCTCTCTCACTGAAAATCTTCAGTTTACATTTGGTAACTTTGCTCTAAATGAGATGAGATTATCAAAATGTCTCATTAGTCAGAGATTTGCTTTCATACCTTTTGAATATTAATGAGACTCTCCTCTCCATCCTAGTTTCAAGTTCTAGGACACTCCTGTCTCCTTAGCAGTCATTGCTGGCAAAGGGTGTGGCACCAACCAAAAGCTCATGTAATGACTAAAAGCAACTCAGTTTCCAAACAGCTTGTGAAAGCAACATAGATGGTACTTGCCTTGATGTTGCACATTTTGATTACAAATATTTGATTCTGCACCTTTTATGTCGTGGAAGCGGGAGTTCAAGCCAGGTAGGGGAGTCAGATGCTTTTACAGAAAACCACAAATCATTTCAGATACATAAGATGTTTATTTAAGAATTAACCTTCTTCTTATACAGCATCCTGCATCTGTTGCCATACTAAAAAGTAAATAAGATGCTCAAATATTAATGTCATATGTTTGAGAAGGACCACGTCCTGACCCAAAGCAGTGTATTTTCAAGAAAATTCATTGAACCCAGATGGACCGTTCTCATGGCATCTCGGTGCAGAATGAACTAGTGTTAACAATGCATCTTTCTTCCAGGAGCTGTGGTCAGTCAGCTTTGAAATCCTAAGACCAAAAATTGAAAGTGTAAATAAAATATGAGTTTGATCTCAGCAGTAATATAAACTCCATTAAAATACTCTCCTCAGGGGGGAAAAAACATTCCTTAAATCCTAACACTTCTTTAAATCACTGTGTAATTATCCACTAAAGAAATGCACATAGCAGTTTAGAAGGGTTGGTGCATTTTGAGACAAACATCTTTACAGCAGTGAATGGGAGATCTTTAGCTATGTGGCTGTCCACAGCACAGCTAGTTTTATCCAATCTTAGCAACGCACAAAATGCGTGCGAGATACTGTTTCAATCCCTGTATGTGTTCTAGCTGAAACCCCAAAGCCAAGTGGTACTAACACAATGTAAGGCTACACAATGAAAATAAACTAAAGTCAAGGCATGTTACATTTTTTTGTTTTCATTATAATGATTAAATAAGTAACGTCTTCTTTTTTCAGTTTCAGTGTTTAACACTTTCCTGCAAAGATAACTTAGCTATAAGCACACATCTTTCTACTGGCTGTCCCTTGGAAATTGTACCCTAAAGGAATCTACCAGCCTCTTTGCAGAAACCGTTGCAAAGCTGAACTAGCACAGATATGACTGCATGGCTATTTTACCTAACCGTTATTTGTTTTCAGAGAAAACATGGAAATCTTTGGTTAAGTTAGCTCTTTTTGAAAAAACATAGTCTTTCATTTTCTTACCAAACATAGCAAACTTGGTGAAAGAATACAAAATTGAATCCTGTTCTTATGTAACATTTAATTTCATTTTTATTGTATTTACTTTCAGAAAATATATTGAATAACAGTTGCAAGACAAGTAGATACTTCTAGACTTTTCAACAGCAGCTGGAAATTGAGGGTCTCTACAGATATAAGTTTTTTTTATAATCAACAAAAGCAACTGATTCAAAAATGAAACTTCTTTTACAAATTTTGAAATAACATATTTTCTTACATTCATTGTAACAGGCAGTTCTGCTAATCTAACCTGCCGAGCTTTCTTTGGATATAGTGGAGATGTCAGTCCTTTAATCTACTGGATGAAAGGGGAGAAGTTTATTGAAGATTTGGATGATAGTCGAGTCTGGGAAAGTGACATCAGGTAAAAGAAAAAGCATTTTGTTTTTTCAGTCAATATCTTTTTTGATAGTTAATATAATACTTGCTATCACAGATTAACTCAGGAACACATTGGGTCTGATCCCTGTTTTTCCAACATCCATTCTTTATCTTTTCAACTCCACCAGTAAAAAACAGAAAAATGCACGCCTCAGCCAGATCTGATGTTAGAGAGCTGCAAAAGCAGAATAGCTGCCTGACAAGTACCGTAGTGTAACCGACAGTGACTTTTTCAAACTGTGGCAATCTACAATAAGAACCATTAAGACAGTTACTAAGATGAAATTAAAAAAAAAAAAATACATCAAGGAAAACAGCTCAAAAGAATTCTTTTAAAACATGGGGCCTTAAATAAATGCTGAAGTTTGGCTTCTCTTTTGGAATGTTTTGACTTCTTTTCTTCAAGGAAAAAATTGGGTTTTCTGGGATGTTATCTGGCCAGTGAGAGCCAAGCGTCCTGTTATGTGGGCTGCCTATATCTGCTGAAGTACTTGTTTTAGAGAGGATCTGGCAATTCGCGTCATGTACTTTTAGTGCTCCTGAAAATGCTGCCTCATTTGGAAATTAAGAAAAAAGTGGTTTTGTATTGAGAATTACATGCTTGACATAGCGTATGAACTCCTACCCGATAAAGTATCTACTTGGATCTGAAGAGATTCCTTTTTCATTTCTAATTCTGTATGTGTGTGTATCACTGTGCCTGTGTATCATGGATAAACCCAGAAATGAAGGGAAATCTAAAGGTGCATTACAAAGGAAGCTAAATAGTCACAGATGTGTTATCTACAGTGATTGGCTATAGTAGAACAAAATGAGCTTATTTACACTCCACCTCTTACATAGGAGTTTATTATCTCATCAAAAGACATGAAGTCACACTCATTTTCAGCTTAACCTTGGACTTCTTCAGTGTAGCCAACGTAACAGAGACAATTCCTTTACCAATATCAAGAGGGCCACATGGACATTCAAGGTCATGCCCATGTCCCAGATATAAGCAAAATGGAAGCATATTTCACCCCAGTGTACTTCAAGTTTATTCTGTAAAGCTCAAGACCGGTACACTAAATGGCACATGACAACCAGATCAGCTGTATTGCACATCTAAAGCTTTTCCTAAGCCCTTCAGCCAGAGACTTGGCATTCTGAAGGCTGATAGAAAGGTGACAAGAACCTCCTTACAACTTTCTTGTTTTGTGGAGGGAGGAGCAGGAAGGCTGGTTTCCACTTCTTTTGTCAGGTGTGATGTGAGGGAGCAGTCTAGAGCGGTTTGTCATTTGCTTTGCTGGGTTTCTAAAACCACTGATGGGCTTGCTAAGAGGTAAAGAAAGCAATGCAAAGACAGGTGGAGTCTTACGCAGGAGGTCTTTTCTTTTATTTATCATCCATATGAACAAGTGGCATCCGGTATGCCAGTTCTTTCTACTGATTTATAATACACAGCCAAATTTTAGAATACATTTAAGAGAGAATTTTTCAGACCCTGGCATGAACACACTTTTTCTGAGTGACATGTTGAAGAGCCTTGGAAAGTGCACAAATAGTGTGTTTGGCCCAGACACCTAATGTGACCCTAAACCCCAAAATAACTGTTTTCACTTGTTTAATCTTCTAACATTTCAAGACTTCACATACTACTGATCAGGGTCTCCATCAGAGTGTGCAACAATACATTATCAGTGTGCACATCATCCTGCTTAAAGAAGACAATTAACTGAAGCTCTCATTAACATTTACAAAGCCAAACCTCCTCATTAGAAGGGAGGAAGAAAAGGGCATGATATAATTTAATTAAGATTTCATCAAACCATAGCCAAATTTGAAGCCAGAATTGTGGATTGTAAGTAGCATTATTATGTCATGATTATCTAATGCTCCGCTATGATACAAGCAGAATAGCAGCAATGGTTGTTTTTTTCTCAGGGTTCTCAAGGAACATCTCGGGGAACAGGAGGTTTCCATCTCATTGATTCTTGACTCTGTGGAAGAGGCAGACCTGGGGAATTATTCGTGCTACGTCGAGAATGGAAATGGACGGCGACATGCCAGTATTCTTCTACATAAAAGGGGTAAATATAAATAGGCAATGATTATTTTTCCCCAGGCATTTGTACAACTTTCAAAGTAAAACAGAAAGGCTGTTGTTAACTATGGCTGTCACTGGGAAAAAATACAGTAACACCTTTTAATTATATTTATATAAAAGAAACATTTAATAACTCATGAACTTTAAAACTAATAAAGGCTCAATAGAGAAAAAAAGTAATAGGAAGCCACAGGTAATACAACTGTAATAATTTTCTGTAAGAAATAAAATCAAATATTAGAAAAGCCAACAAAAATACCTTCCACTTCTGTCAGAAATGCCACGTAAACCCCATGCCAGGGGAGTTCCTGCATAGCCTGAGTGGACATTTTCCTTCTAACATTATTTGTTTAACACCAACATTTCTGAAGTGAAGTATTATGACAGAAACTTCTAAGGACCTTCCTGTTTCTACTCACCGCTCACATCCCATGATTCCAGCCTGCCTAATGGCCACAGCCATCTCCCACGGAGATAATTACAGAGAGGTGGAGAATCTCTTGCAAAGCGAGGTTCCCAGATCCACTTTGTTCACTTTACCTCCCAGAGGGTGCTCCACGTGCCTGGGCTTGACGCTCCCCACCCTCATGCAGCATCCCACTGGTTTAAGAGAGCAAAGAATAATCAGGAGTACTGTCTGTACTTCGCTGTCATTACTGTGCTTTTTTTAGACTGTTTGTAAAGGTGAGCAAACCAGGTTCTTACTGTGGTGCTGAACTACTTGTGGCATCTCAATTTATATCAAAGCAGTGATGTCTTCCCTAGGCTTAGTCTTGTAGCATGCGAAGTCTGTCTAAGTTTAAAAGGAAGCCATAAATCAAGATAGTGTGACTCATTTATTTAAATGTATTTTTGTGTACCTCCAATTAATTGAATAGAACTAATTTGTAGCCATTTTTCTGAACTCTTGTCATTGCTTCTTAAGAGATGTAGATGTAAATAACCAGATGTTCTGCTTAGCCTGGCATTTGCCATATCTTCTTGAATTTACTGAGATGAGGAATTAACTTATTCAGTAATTGAACCTCAACAATTTACCAGCTAGTAGTCATATACTCCTAATTCAGAGACATTTGAACCTAGAACAAGTGCTTAACCCAACAAACACTGAAATCCAATGGCTTGTCTTTAATAATGAAATTAGTGCATGGAACACTGAAAATAAAGAATTTTGGAGGCTTGGATTACTTTAAAACCAATACTTAATTAACTGACATGTATTAAGTCACACACTCATGGTGAGTCTTTATTTTCCCTTTGTCGTGGTTTAACCTCAGTCGGCAACTAAGCACCACGCAGCTGCTCGCTCACTCCCCCCCCACCGGGTGGGATGGGGGAGAGAATTGGAAAAGCACAAGTGAGAAAAACTTGTGGGTTGAGATAAAAACAGTTTAATAATTGAAATAAAATGATAATGATAATAATAATAATAATAATACACAAAGCAAGTGATGCACAGTGCAATTGCTCACCACCCGCCGACCGATGCCCAGCCAGTCCCCGAGCAGCGGCCCCCCCGGCCAGCTTTCCCCAGTTGATGTACTGAGCATGACGTCACATGGTATGGAATGTTTCTTTGGCCAGTTTGGCTGTGCCCCCTCCCAGCTTCTTGTGCCCCTCCAGCCTTCTCAGTCGGCAGAGCATGGGAAACTAAAAAGTCCTTGGCTAGTGTAAGCATCACCTAGCAACAACTAAAACATCGGTGCGTTATCAACTTTGTTCTCATCCTAAATCCAAACCACAGCACTGTACCAGCTACTAAGAAGGAAATTAACTCTATCACTGCTGAAACCAGGACACCCTTCCATACAAGCAGTAGCTCCAAGACTGACAACACATAAGTCTTTTCTGTTCTGTGACCACCAGCTTTTTAATCTAACAGTGCGCATGTATAAATTTTACAAGGGTCTACTTTCCTTGCTTCCTTTCTTGGAGAAATCAGTATGTCAAACACACCACAGTATGTGGCCTCATGATGACATGCTTAAGAGGAAGTAATCTCAATATTTAATTGCCCTTAGAAATAGTAAAAAGCTAAAAATAGCAAAATCTCCCGCAAATATTTTTTTTTCCTCTTTAAGTAAGGCTGAATCTGAAATTGTGATTTGGAAACAAAATCCGTTTGTGCCCTCGAAAAACAAAAGGTACCTGTTACAAGCCTTCTATATGCTTTGCATGTTGACAACAGTTTCAGTGAAATGATAAATTAACCATGACAGATAAAAATTTGAACTAGTCTCTCAGGTCTCCTAGGAAGAGGAGCTTTGCACTGCTTGCTTAGTCTCCTGTATATCACCATGACAACATTTCATTTTAGGTTTTCTTGTTTAGATCCACATTTAGTCTCTGCTAGGAATGAGTTAGTTGTTTATTAATTTCTGATTATTGGCTCACTTAGAACAATTGGGACCTAACAATTAGGTAAATTTGCTTCCTGAACACTTGAGGCATTTGCAGAGGTATTAGTTTTGGCTGGTTTTCTAGTTAGCGATCTTTCATTCCAGCAGTATAAACCAACAAAAATGCTGAATCTGGAATGTTCACTGGATACCTGAAAAAGAAATTATAATCCTTCTTAAACTTCATTTGTGGTACCTTATCACCAGGATCAGAAGGGACAGGAAAGCAGAAAGATCTGTTACTGAACAAAGAGCGTTCCTGGGAAAAGAGGTATTTAGTGCTAAATGCTGCAGCAGGGATTCAGGTACAAAATTTAAGCCTTTCAAACACCCTTGCATCTGCTGCTTCTCCCTGGTCAATATATTCTCTGTAAACCTAAACTTCCGGGGGGAGCTTTTTGATATGCCTGCAATTACACAGGCCCTGAAAGGGCAAGAAGTTCGGAGTCTAAATCACCA